GTCTTGTTTTGAGGTAAAAAATAATGGCTTGGTTTTAAATTTTGATATTATTTACGTTTTTTTTTTTTTTTTTTTTGGGGGGGGGGGGGGGGCTTAGCTGATGGGTTATTCTAGGGTTTTAGTATGCTGAGCTAAAGTTTGGAACTTTTTTTAATCAATGAAATGTGTGATAAATGAGAGAGTTCGCTCAAGTCGGTTTTCTTTTAATGCTGTGTTTTTTAGTGAATTATAGAAAAGTTGACACCTTGGGTCTGAATTTTTTTATTTCTTATGTTTGTTCAGATCTAGCTGATCAAGGTGAGATCGGAAGAAGTTACTAGCTGAGACGTTAAGGTTTTGCCTTTATTATGGTGGTTTATGCTCTAGACTTCTAGTTACGCAAATTCCAAATACATAGCATCCCATTATCAACGTTAAGGGTCACTATCTCCTTCTAAGAATTAGTCATAAGAAGGGTTCTGCTAGGATTTTGGCCTCTATTGCAAGTTTTGTAATTTGAGAGGAAAAACATCAAAGTTTTTTACTTAAGCATCAATGAGAGGTTTGGTGGTGTTTTGAGATACCGAAACAAAATCCGGTTGTTCATTGAATAGTGTGCTGGTATTCTGATTGGTATTTTGGGCGCTGGTCGGGGAGATAGAACTTGGTATGGCTGGGGGCAAGAGCAACAGCAGCCGTGAATCCTTGAAGCAACCCTGCAACTGCTATAGAGTTTCAAGCTTGACTGAAACCATTCTGGACACGCACCAGATCTCTAATTTGAAAGATAGGTACGTTCTTGGAGAGCAGTTAGGTTGGGGACAGTTTGGTGTTATTAGAGTGTGTACTGATAAGTTTTCCAGAGAGGTTTTGGCTTGCAAATCGATTTCCAAGGATAGACTGGTGACATCAGATGATGCAAGGAGTGTCAAGCTTGAGATTGAAATAATGACCAGGTTATCTGGGCATGCTAATGTTGTGGATCTCAAGGCAGTTTATGAGGATGAGGATTATGTTCACTTGGTAATGGAACTTTGTGCTGGAGGGGAGCTTTTTCACCAGTTAGAAAAGCATGGACGCTTCTCCGAGGCTGAGGCTAGGGTTCTCTTCAGGCATCTTATGCAAGTGGTTCTTTATTGTCATGAAAATGGAGTGGTTCACAGAGATTTGAAGCCGGAGAATATCCTCTTAGCTACAAAATCCTCATCATCACCAATTAAATTGGCAGATTTTGGTCTTGCAACCTATGTCAAGCCGGGTATAGTTTCTTTCTTCTTCTCTTTTCTTTTGCTCTTCATTTAATTTGTTATATTGAACGTTGTTTCCTGCAAAGCGTGAGTTGTTTAACAGATTAAATATTGGGATCTGCCCAAACAGGTCAGAGTTTGCATGGGACTGTTGGAAGCCCATTTTATATAGCTCCTGAGGTATTGGCAGGAGGCTATAACCAGGCTGCTGATGTTTGGAGTGCGGGGGTGATTCTCTATATTCTTCTTAGTGGGATGCCACCATTCTGGGGTAAGACCAAGTCAAGGATATTTGATGCTGTGAGGGCAGCTGATCTTCGGTTTCCTTCTGATCCTTGGGATCACATAACTGAATCTGCAAAGGAGTTAGTCAGGGGTATGCTTTGCACAGATCCCTCGCAAAGGTTTACTTCTCAGCAGGTTTTAGGTGGGTTCAATTTATATTTTACTTGCTGTATATGCTTTCTTTAGCTTCTTTGATAGTTTCATCCAATCAACCTGTTCTTTGATCTTAGTAGGCATTGGGACTATGGATGGTTATAATTTTTTTGGTCTTTTCTAGCACTACATGAATTTCTTGAAAGCTAATCACTTCATGCTAGAAGCATCTAATGCACATACTACATGATTATGTATACAAAACTTGCTGACAAGACAAGAAATCTGGCTGAGATCCCAAAAGGTGAGGCGGGGCTCCATTCCCTAATTCTTTTAAACTGACAGGTCATTTACAACTGAATGAGTTTCTATATTTCTTTTGTTAGCTGGTCCCATCAATCGTAACATTTATGTCCTTGGTTTTTCCTCAGGTGGATAATTTTTGCTGTTGATGAGCTATGTCATTTCACTCTTTTTTTTTTCTTTTTTGGTTTTAGAAAATCACCATATCAACACACCAATGTGGTTGTGTTTTGCCTTATCTGGCTTCATATGAATTACAAATATAAGTTGTGCAACTGACTGGCGTTGCTAGGGCCTAAAAGTCAAGTTCTCTTTCTCATTAGCTGATCAGCATGATTTTACCTTTTCTTGCCTGCTACAAAAGACTGCTCTCCTTTTTTTTCTTTTTTTTCATGCCATGCTTTCTCCAAATATTTAGTCTTTAATTTTCTTTTCTGTAGATAATTCCTGGATGAAGCATGATGTACCATATCCTGAAGAATCTATTCAACTTGAAAAGCAAATTTGTGAAGATTGGGATTTAGGCGGCAGCTCATTCTCCATATTAATGGCCAGGGATCAGGACGTCAGCTTTGGCACTGGATCACCTATCATTCATGATGTTCAGTCTCCTACTTTCACTTGCAGATCATCATTCTCTTCTTTCCTAGGGGAGCCATCAACACCTAGCTTTGTATCTGGTGGATTCTCTTTTCGCAGCAGTGATGATTCAAATGCCTTGGAATTCATATCCCCTGTATCCTCAATGCCGAGCTTTGCATTCTCCAGCCCTGGTCCTGTAATTGAGCAAGGGAATTCTACATTAGAATTCTCAAGCAACGTTTCTAGGATAGATTCAGTTTGTGGACGTCATCAACTGTCAGAGGGAAGCTTGGATAAGATGCTTCTGTTGCGGGAGTCTTCTCTATGCTGTGTACGTGAAGCCAGAGAAATGGAAAACAAGCCAGTTGAAGTTAAGAGAGCAGGAGCAGCAATAGGGTCCAGGATGTCGGGCATACACAGTAAGAGGAACCGCACTATTGGTCTCGGTGAGCGTGAGCAACTTGATCTCATGGTGACTGAATCAGTCATCCGCTGGGCATCCTGCACTCACCTTCCAACCGCACCATCTCTGAGGTCTTCTCTTGTCTGTTGAGAGAGAGAATCAGCTGACAGCCAGACTCAACGAGATGAATGGGATTTTAGGTGCAGAAAGTGCTGTGCTCACATGATAGTCAAAATAGCTAATGTGTGTGTAATAGTTTTGTATCATATTTTTGTTGCGAGAGTCCCTGTGTGCTTAGAGCCTGTTTCAGGCTAGCTTTCAAACGAGTGAGGAGTGATGTCCTTCTGATGAGATAATCTTGAATCTGTTCACTACTAAGAAGCAAATGTCTTTCTGATGAGCGAATCTTGAATCTGTAAACTATGAAAAAGCAGATGCCCCCCATGATGTGCTAATCTTGAATCTGTTCGCTACTAAAAAGTAGTTACCAGCTCCGAGTGATTGGCTTTTGCCATGTGTATAAAAGCTGGATTTTCATAGGATGAAGTTCTCCAGGTTTCATATTATATTTTCCGAGTCTCTTTTGAAATATAAGCATCAGGAAATCATATTATAATAACAAGATCATGATACTGACTGCAGCAGCTCTATAAACGTAGTGGTCTCCTTTTACTCAGCTTCTGATTTTGTTCTTCATTATCTCTGATCAACTTCAATTCTCCTTGTACAATGAAGCCCTGCGTGATCAGATCAATCTAAATGAATTAACCGGAAACACCATACGTACACATTTTGTAGAACGGTGGCCAGATTCCCAGTTTTGTTCTTACTAGTTTTGTTCTTACTTTAATTTTTTTTTTATATTAATATGGATGTCCGAAGCAGCTAATTGAGGTTAAACAATGGACATGACCATACTAAAGTCTTTATTCTATAATTGTGAAAGTTAAAGTATCTTTTCCTTTTGCTCTGCCATGGTGACAGCAAAACATTGCAACTCTCCACTAGCCTCCAAATTTTGTGAAAACGGCTAGTTGAGGTTCAACAGTGGACATGACCACACTAAAGTCTTTATTCTATAATTGTCAAAGTTAAAAGTATCCTTTTCCTTTTGCTCTGCCATGGTGGCAGCAAAACATTGCAACTCTCCACTAGCCTGACATGGACCACTTCCAAGGTAGAGGGCAGGCAACAAAGGTCTCTAGATGCCACCTGTCCTGGGAAATGAAGTAGAGGAGAGGACATTATTACATGTCCAATGGGGTAAAGAAACAGGTCATTCAGCACAAAAGCACAATCATATATCCATGTTCTGCTACCCCCCATTCCAAGAGACAAACAAAATTTCAAGCTTGATGCCTGCTCTCTGCCCTCAGGATCTTCACTCTTCAGGTCCCAATTTTATGTAAGAGCACAGGAGACAAGGAGAGGGTACTTCGGCAAGTGATCAAGAAGGTAGGAAATTGACCTTTCAAGAGTTGATAGCCACAAAGCTTCCACTCATGATTTCAGTGTTCAAGTTCAACCAATAGCTAAGTGCCAAAATCCCAATGGTCAGCTGCCGTCTTGCAAATTTTGGAAAATGTGGATTGGTACATTTCTTAAAATGTTTAGATTTTTCCCTTTACAGCTAATATTTTTCTCAACAAAAGCTGACTTTTAAATATTTTTATTTTATTTGTTTTAATCCCAATTTTTCCTCTCAAACATCCCCATTTATGCTATAATATTTTTTTTAAAAAAAAAAAACAACTGAAAGCCTGAAGAAATTGAGAATCAAATTCAAAAGGAAGGTTAGGGGTAACATTGGGAAATTTTAAACTTCAGATGTAGAGAGAGTTGATGAAGCAAAAGTGAAGTTTACCCTAATATTTTGATTACCACATGAAAACTGAAAATTTTTGGCAGCCACTATACATTTTCTTCTTGGCTCGGTGCATACGGGATTTGCTTCTCTGTATCCATGTTTGTGTTTAAAAGTCCCTTTTACTATTTTTTTTTATATCATCCATTTATGTCATATTTTTGTCTTTTTACACTATTTTGTCAGTTTGTGTCCCACGTGGCGTCTTGAAATTATGTTTCACATATACATCTTGGTCCCTAGATTTCTTTCAAGAATTTACTGTGATCCCTTATTTGATTTTTATTATTAACAAGTATTTTCAATAATGTATGATTATCATGGGAATTTTAACCAAGTTTAAAATTTGACCATCTATAGAGCTCCTCCACTGCTTGTAAAGACAGTCCTAACATCAGAGGGAGGAATCAACTCGAACGATAAGGTGAAGGATTGGAAAGAGAAGGGAAATGCAGACTGGTTGGAGTGGCAACTGTTCATGAACACCTTCCCCGGTCTTCCCACAGAATGCCTTGCCAAACTCAGTACTGTTTTTTCCTTTTCTACCTCTCCTTGATGGTGTCAGGAACTCAGTCCTCCATGCTGTAACACGAGCTGCTCATCTCTTTACACAGAAAAATATAGAACACTATCAACCAGAGGCTCTCCTGTATGTTCCATTACTAGCATAACAGATCTGTGCCTGGACACGAGGGCATTATCAGGGGATCCCTGGCGTTCCAAATGCATAAATAAATTAATCAATGCAAACAGAAGCACAAAAACTAAACTAAAAACAAATAATGGACTAGGAAGTATGGACTCGTGATAAGAACAGCTGCTGTGATGATTGCTATCATTTATTGCTGTGGAAACTATGGTATGTCTTTACGAATTTTAGTTCTTTACAACCGATTAGTGACATATGATGTATAAATATAGAGGAATAGAGGAATAATAAAAGAGACTCGGAATCAATAGAAGCTTTTGCTTGTTTTCAACTTTCAAGGCAGAAAATCTCCTCTAGCCACTTCCTGCTACCAGTTTCTCTGAAAATAGAATTATTAGGCCTCAGTAGAAAATGAAGAAACTTAAAATTCCAAGACTGTTGCTGCTGGATGAAATTCCCCGAGAAACTTACATGATTGTTTGTCTGGGGTTTTCTATTCAACCATTGGTAATATCTATGTCTAGCAGTTTCAGTCACTCAAATGCCAGTCTTTGAGTGCCAACTAATGAAGCATATTGACCCTTCTTATCTAGCAACTCAGAGTGGGTCCCTAGTTCTGCAATCCTCCCACCAGAACAAAGCGCAATCTGATTAGCATTCTGAACTGTGCTTAACCTATGAGCAATCACCAATGTTGTTCTGCCCTTCATTAGTTGGTCCAGAGCATCCTGGACAAGACGTTCACTAACTGCATCAAGTGCACTAGTGGCCTGAACAAAAGAACAAGATGTCTTATCAAGTCTTGAAACAAGAATTTTTTTTGATTTCTAACACCTGCCCTCACATTAGAGCAATAAGTGAAACAACATGACAATTTTTCAAGGATCATGAGTCAAAGCATTCCCAACACAAGCTTGGAGAGTATATAAATATCCAGAGAGAAGAAAACAAAGAGCTTACCTCATCAAGTATTAATATTGGTGCATTCTTGAGCAGAGCTCTTGCAATAGCAATTCTCTGAAGAACAAAGACCAGAGAATAAAATTTTACCACTTTTCTCTTTCACTGAATATTATAGATCAGAAAATAATCATTAATCGCTTATTTCTTCCTCACTCTCTAAAGAGTTCATTGACATACCTGCCTCTGTCCTCCACTCAGTAAGCCTCCACGCTCACCAACTAGAGTGTCATAACCCTTTAAAATCCAAATAAAGGTTCAGAAATGAAGGTCAAAACAAGCAAAAGTAGAGCTGTCGCATAATTACAAGATACAAACCTGTGGAAGTGATATTATAAATTCATGAGCATTTGCAGCTTTGGCAGCCTTTATGATATCGTCCTTTGATACATTATCATCTGGAAGCCCATATGCGATATTTTCTCCAACAGATACCGAGAAGAGAACAGGTTCCTGTTTACAGTATATACTTAGCTTTGAGAAAGATGAGAAAGTTTGAACCAAGTAATTAAAGCAGTTCCTTCATAACAAGCACAACATGTTTCCTCATAAGTTTGCCTGTCATAAGATCTGAAGAATCATTCCAGACCAAACTCCAAGTTTGGCCCAAACAGAACAGTTTAAGCCACAAGCAACCAACCAGCTATATATGTGCATAGTCCCCCACAATGCCCTACTATCAATATGACTTCAGTTCTGATCATTGCTATTCCTGAGATGCTGAAATTGCGTACTCATTAACAGACACGCAGGATACAAGTGTGCATACATGGAAAAAGTCAAGAAGAAATAATCAAGTCTCCTTCCTCCCTTGCCTATTCTTTTCTTCTTACAAAGCTCCTTTTATTCTCTGAATCATGGCAGCCTAATATTTTGGTTACCACACATAATTGGTTACTGAATTAGGTGGTGACTTGTAGACATAGTTGGCAATCTACAATTCCTAATTCACACTAAAAAACTTGATTGTCAAAAACATCCCGCTACTGACAATCCAAGGTCTAGGTTATTCGACCTCTTGGGTTAGAACCAAATCAAGTTGCATCTCAGCAACAACAGACACTCAGTAATCATATTCAATGGGAAGTATTTTGTCTCCATGCTGAGAATGCAAGGATGATTCCATAAATGTTGTGAATTTAATGCATTGAGTCAACATATGGCGATTCAAAACATTACCTGATTCACGATGGAGACGACCTCCACCCATTCAGTCTTTTCAAATGTCCGAACATCCTCTCCTGAAACTGTAATCCGACCTCTGGTTGGCTGCAAGAACAAGAGATGTATGTCATTTCCCAGCATTCTATAATGGTTTAATAAAATTGCAATTTAATTTTAGAAATTAAAATTTTGAGAATCAACTAAACCTCATAAAAGCGTGCCAATAGTTGTACTATGGTACTTTTGCCTGAACCACTTGAGCCCACTAGAGCGGTCACAGTTCCACATTTCAGAGTCAAATTAAGACCATTCAAGATTTCCACATCAGGTCGTAAAGGGTAAGAGAAGTGCACATCTGCATAACAAATTATCAGTTGGAAAAAAGAAAAAAAAAACATGAATTCAGAGTAGAGATGATTGACATGTAGGGTCCAATCTTTAATCTATGTTCTACTTTCAACCTTCAAATTAAACAAGTAAAAAGCACAAAGTTCTCTCAAATTTCTTTTTGGACTTCCATATTTAATTTGGAACAGCCATTATATTTAGTTCCATAAGAGATGGTCTGTTCAAATACAGTAATAAGAGGGCATAGGCCTGCAACAATATAATTAACACTTAAGTTGGAGTGAAGAGTGGAAAATGCGTGGAAGTAAATGAGAACTGCAATAAAGATACCTTCAAGACAAACATCACCAGACCCAGCAAAGCTACACACGGTGTTGGCTGATTTTAGGGCTGACATGTAATGTGTATTAAAAATTTGATTCTGTCCGCTGTAACCATTAACTAAGAACAAACTAATCTTCTCATCATGTACTTCTTTTTTCTGGATTTGTCTTTCTAAACCATAGGCAAGGGCTTCATCAATTTCTACCCCAGATAAAACAGAATTAATCCTCTCAATGGCAGCAAGTGCTCCGCGGAGATCTCCAAATGTATTGACCAGCCCTTGAACCTGAGAAATGAATCAATTCAAAGACTACACCAAAGAGTAGAAAATTGTAACATACTGGAGGAGTGAAATAGAACTCACAGCAAAAGTTAATGTGAAAGTGTATCCGATGAAAGAAGCAACAGTTCCAACAGAGAGCAAACCCTGCAAGCAATAAAATATGGCAGGTAAAACAAAATAGCAACTCACTTTAGGTTTGGTACGAATAAAATCAGAGGGATAATAGAGGTAGAAGGAATGTGATTGGTGTCCAAATTAGCTTGCCTACTTATTCTTATAGGTAGAAGGAATGTGATAGTTGTATAAATTAGCTTGCCTACTTATTCTTATAGTTCCTTATCTTGCCATTTGGTTTTCAGAGCAATTTGATTGCAAAATGAATTGAAGTTGGAGCACAGCTCAGTCATTTTTATTTCAATCATCTTGTCTCAAGATATCAAGTCAAGTAACATCTTGCTTTCAAGGCAGTGGGCGATACACAAAAACTGAAGGTAAAATATATTCAACAGATCAAATATACCCAATAATGTGATCAGGCAGCAGCCTCACAGTGAGCATATCAAAAGGAAAATTAGTGAAGGAACAAACATGTTATAATGAAGCAGGCAATATGCATTAAGAAGTGCACCAATTGTATAGAATCCATGAAGCAGAGCACAGTATGAGCTCCTCTATTGTTTTTGTTAGTGTTTGTATTCTTTTTCCTCATCAAAGGCTGATTCTTCAAAAGTCACAATTTTGAAACCAACATTGTGTATCAATTTCTCAAAAAGTTGACAGAATGTAAACTAATATTACATGTAGACTGTAAATATCAGTGGATCTGAATTGGGAATCTGGATCACATTATGCATATTTAAAAGGCTAGAGAGACGTGTCAAAGGGTAGAAGCTTACAGCCTTTACTCTGCTTCCTCCAAGACTGTATAAAGTCAGCAACGAAATATATACAGCAACCCGTGTCAATGATTCATTCACAGATTTGAAAGCCCCGAGCTTTATACCACTTCTTTGATAAGCAAGAACCTACCAACATCTTCGATATAAATAACAGAACAATCAATCTAGAAATCACCAATTTCATAAAGAACCACAGCCTACAATTTACCTGGCTGCCAAAGTTTAGCATTTGGCGCTTTTCACCACCAAAGGATCTCACCTGTGACAGTAAATTTGCTATTTTCAGTATCGGGCACAAATTCATCCTATTCTTTACCACACTCATTACTCCATACAGGACAAACTGACTTTATGGTCAACAACTAGTACAAGCTAGGACTGTCAAAAGAACTATGTGACAAAGCATTACCAACAACTTACAGTACGTATAGCAGAAAAGGTTTCCGTCACACAATCAGATATGGATGCCTGGGCCTTTCCATGAGCTTTGAAAACAGGTACAGTTGATCGCTTGTATACAGCTTGAGAATTTAAATATCATTTAGCAGCAAGCAAGGAAACAGAAGTCAGAAAGAAATATAAGGATTGTCATAGGTAATTGTGTTGGTGAAAGCAAAGCATATGAAAGACAAGATAGGTTTCATCACATATAAATGTCAGCAAATCACTGCCAATAGATTACTAATGATGAACTCATTACAGTCCAGAATAGGCAACATTATGAATAGAAAACTTAAAAACGGGAAATTTATCGAAGCTAATACTATACATACTGCCATTTATGTGATGAAGAATAAATGGTGTAAACTTAAAGAACATATAGGAGGCACTGTAGAAATCTTGATCACTTTCACAAAAAAATATTTACCAACTGAAATAGACACGGCAAACATCAAAACCCCCAGAATCGGTGCTAGTTGGGGGGCCAGAGCAAACAGTATGCATATGGTTCCAGTGACCTGTTGAGGCAACAAACATACTGGAGATGTAAATTATCCATAGCTTCTGACTGTTGATCATGAATGGAAATTTATAAACGATACGACAGGCAAGATTTGTATCAAAAGATTTCAGTATCAATTGCAACAGCATTGCACTAAATCAACACAAACTATTGCAGAAATACATGCTACTTAAAGCAAATATGTAAGTAAATTCCATCCAAATCAAACGATTAGCTACATAAAGCTCACTTTTGTTTTAGTATAGAGTGGCTTGCCTCAGAAAATGCCCTAAATCCACGATCCCTCGAAATGTTCTCGCTCACAATATCTTTAAACGAACCCAAATCAGACGTCAACAGAGCACTAAGCTCACCAACCTGCAAGAAACACAAAACAACACAACATACAATCCTTAATCACGTCCAAATCACTAACAAACATCAACACAAGTTCTCAAGCATCAGTAACAAACCTTGTATCTATCAAAAAACTCCACCTGCATTGCAACAAAAAACAACAAAAGGGCTTGTAAAAGACCGTATAACTCAACATTGAACACATTAAGAAAACCAATTGCCCGGTTTGACAAGTTCATTTACCTTCTGAATCAAGACCCTTCTAAAAATCTGAGCTCTCAGTGTTGCCATAACCTTCTCCCATACTGTATTCATGTTTACAACAAAGATCACTGTAAAAATCGGTTCCAAAGCGTATAACACTCCAATCTTACTAAGCAACCTCCATAGAGGCTCCGGTCTCGCACCAATCAACACCTCAAAAAATCTCCCTGCAACCAAAATAAAATTCAACACAAATCAAAAACCTTCTTGACGAAAACATAAAGCAATAAACTTAGTGATGGTTACCTGAAAATATAGGCATGGAGAGAGTACAAGAGGTGCAACCAGCAAGAGTGAAAGCACAAACGACGAGTCGTACTTTATGCTTAGCCAACAGACTCCACAAAAGACCCCAACTTATCAGTTCCGTTGACTGAACCTTCTCCGTTACAGACGAATCGTCATCGGTCGGGTCGAGTTTGTGGTCCGGTTCGGTCACAATCGGGTCGGATGCTGGTCCGGTCACGTAAGCAGAAGTGATTGTCGTTGCAGTCCGGTGCCGTTTTAGTAATGGCGGGAAAGGCCGGGGTTGATGGAGATGAGGAGAGGAGGGAGGAAGTTTGAATTTGAGTTTGGATGGCGCGTGGAGAGATGGGGTGCGGATGCGAGTGGGGAGTGTTTGAAGGAGGAGAGGGGGAGCTGCAGAGGCCATGGTTTTTGGTGATGCAGAGCAAGTAAGAAAGTACAGGGAAGGAGACGAAAGGAAAGGAGAATCAAATAATGAGCGCGTATTTAACACGCGGATTGATATTTTTTATCCTCTATTTTTTATTATTCAATTTTGGTATTATTTTATTTTAGAATATAGTGATTGGGATAAAATATTGCATTTGATGTGAAGATAGTGGATTTTGTTTCTATATACATAATTTGTTTGTTTGTTTATTTATTTATTTGAGAGATGGCGTTGTGATTTTTTAATATAAAATAAATTATCTTAAGTGGATTTTATATGAATTTGAGAGAATATTCATAAATGTGTTGAATAAAAGGAAACAAAATATTCACTTGTAATTATTTTTATTATAAAATCGCACCATTTCCATGTTATTAGCATCGTAATATGAATAACTATAATATATTTCATGGTAAATGTTTTATTTAATTATTTCAAATATCATGATTTGATTTGTTTGAAAATTCCATCATGGTTAATGTTTTTAGCTATGAAAATATGTAAAACTTATTTTAGATCATTATCTTAACACAAATTAATTAAGAAAAATAATTATTTATCTAGTTTCACTTATATTTTTTTCACATAATTAAAAAAATCAAGATTCTTGAAAAAACTTTAATTATTCGAATCAGTATAGTTTAGTTTAGAAGAATATGTAATTTTTTTAAAAAATGCTATTAATAAATTTTAAAAATTTTAAAAGAATATATAATTTATGAAATTATTCAAAATAGGTTAAGACAAAATAAATTTTGAGAAATATATGTGTGCGCGTTCTTATAATTTTTTAAAACTAATTAACTTGTAATCCTTCTTAAATTTAATTTTACATGGTAAAAACTTTCCCTGTGGTTTTTTAGTTAATTGAGGGTTTTGAGGGGTCCTAGGTAAAAAAGAAAATAAAAAAATTGAGATAGTGAGTGAAAATTTAGGGTTACCCAATTGTCGATTGGGTAAAAAAGATTATCAAGTTAGGTAAATAAAAAAATGATAATTCCAAAAATTACCGACGTGAATTTTTTTTATCTGAATTATTCAAATGTTAATTATTAAATTGAGAACAATAAGATTTTCTTTTCTTTTCAAATTTGTGAGGAAGAAATCCCAATTATTCACGCCATGAGCAACCTCCAACGGTCAATAATCAACGACAATCATGCACCGGCCGACTCCATCTAAAAACTCTATGAAGACAATCCCGTAATTAACTCAAAATCCAAGGATAACTAAGTAACATCAAAACATTTACAAATCCACGTGTCTCCTCATAAATCCCCTCAAAGCTCAGCTCTTCACAAGATTCCTTTCCCTCGCTTTATTTGGTCCCGAACCAAAACTCGCTCCTCAACTCAATCATCATCTCACCTTGACTCGGTCCTCACTCACTCCCATGGAGCTCGTATAACTACCCATCATCATCATTCAAACCTTCATCACTCCAATATCAATCGCGATCAGCAACCGTTGATTTTTTATAAATCTGAAAAAGTCTCTTCCTGTTTCCCCCTTTGTGTTGACTTTTATCGTTCCGTCAACGAATCAGATGGCTCGTTCGCCGTTTCATCGGATTCTGCTCTTTGCTTGGATAGTAGTCCTCTTAATGGATGGGGTTCACGCGAGTGATGGTGATGCTGATCCGCTTTACATGTCAAAGTTTGTCTTTAATATTTATTGTTAATTAGACTTTAAATTCTGCATCATTGACTGAATTTAGTAATTAGTAGTTATTTTTGTTCAGTTTTGACTGTGAATTTGAATTTGAGAGGTGAAAAATGCTGGCTATTTAGTACTGAAATAATGATTTATGAATTGAAATTCAATGGTTTTATGGTCAAATTTTGGTTTGCAATCGGAAAAGATTTTTTACTGGTTTTTAGATATTCTTACAATTAATGGGTTCTTTTAAGTTTTTATAATGGTTTGGCGTGTCATAATTTCATGCTTATGAGAAGCCTTACAGCTGATAACTTATTTATTAGAAAGGTCTTTAATAACAAGGATGTAAATTTGGGGTGGTTAGAGTTTAAAACTTGAAGCTTCTCTGCTGTTTTCGGGCAATGTGTGAGGAGCAGTAAGGAGAGAAAACCAGGGTGTCCTAGAGTTTTGCTTGGAGGATTGACTAATTTGAGGGTATCTATGTTTAGGAGATGTTGCGTATTTGCTTTGGCAGAAGGTAAAAAAAACAATCCTTGGGGGCTGCAGGGGGTGCCATTCATCGTCATGTTGTTCATAATCACTGTCAGTTGCATAAATAGCATCCATAAAGTTTAAGATTTTTTTTGCAGCTCCCCTAGGCCCCACTATTTCCTGTGTGCTATTTTCTATTTTGTTTGAGTTTGGTTCTGTTAGGATTGGAATTAACTATAGTTTTTATTATGCATTTGCTACTCAATCACCAGAGCTTGTGTGGAGCAGTGTGAGAAAACTGGGTGTGTGGGGGAAAAATGCTTCCAACACTGTAAATTCTCGGAGGGTGGGCCATGGTATCTACAAGAGCCACTCTATCTGCAGTGGAAACAATGGGATTGTTGTAGTGACTGTCGATACCACTGCATGCTCACCAGGGAGGAAGAAAGAGAGAAACTTGGTGGGAAGCCTGTCAAGTATCATGGGAAATGGCTGTTTCGTCGTGCTTATGGTTTTCAGGTTTCTATATGTAATTTCTAGTTCAACATTAAGATTTACCCATGCTGAATAATTGATCACCTATCTTACATTGATATTTTTTTGCCTTTTCAGGAACCTGTTTCTGTTGCTTTCTCTGCACTCAATCTCGCTATTCAGTTTCATGGTTGGGTATCCTTTTTCATCCTGATATACTACAAGTTGCCGCTGACTCCTAGTAAGAAGAATTATTATGAATATACTGGCTTGTGGAACATCTATGGGATCCTATCTATGAACTCCTGGTTCTGGAGTGCTGTTTTCCACAGTCGGTAATCAATATTATGAGAATTGTTTGGAGAGGGCCTAAAGCTGTCTTCTCAAAATCATGACAAACTAACCTTCCTATCAACAATTTGAATATGTGCTTAATTTGGAAAGGTGGAAGATAGATCTTCAGCTGCTATTTTAGATTTTATATTACCTTCACGTTCTTTGTAGCATGGTAAAAGATATTACCGTAAAGAGTACATTGAGAAAGAAGATGTTGAATCTGCTAATTCGTGGTAGCGAACATTGGTTTTAGCTGTAATGTGACAATGGCATATATGCACATTCCTTTCTATTTTAAAATTACGTTCTATTTTGCCTTGTTATCTGGTTAATATAATTCATTGCATTGCAGAGATGTTGAGTTGACGGAGAAACTACATTTTTCGTCTGCTGTGGCATTACTAGGGTTTTCCCTTTATCCTGGCAATACTGCGAGCTTTCAGCGTGAGAAATGAGGCTTCCAGGGTCATGGTTTCTACTCCAGTGATTGCATTTGTTACTACACATATCTTATATCTGAACTGCTACAACCTTGATTATGGTAATTCTGTCTTCTAATCTTCCTGCTCTACGAGAAAAAATAATAGACCTTATTTAAAACTAATTCTGGAGCTATAAGGCATATTGCTCTAAGATATTTCAGACTTTAAGTGTTTGTTTAAATAAGCTTTGTCTTGGTCCATTTATGACTGTCTTGTCACACTTGTTCTTCTGTCCTGGTCCCACCTCTTCTGCCGTACTCGTTTTTTTTGGTTTTGGGTACTCAAACTGCATTCAATTTTGTCGTTGTTGCTCCAAGCACTGATTTTGTTGAATACAACTTAACAATAATCTCCATTGCAGTTTTTTCCATTGCATTTACATGCATGCCTAACCTTTCTTGCCATGCCATTTTTCATCTTAGCATCCTATTAAGCTAAATTTCATGCTATGTAGTATCACTATTTCCAATCTGTTAGCACCTAGACCAAATAAGTAGTCTCTTTTAACTGTTGACTGAGCTAATAATATCTATAATGTAAATTCATTCATCCTTTGGAAATTTACATATTTGACTTTTATATTATGCGGCTGAAATGTGACCAATGCAACTGTCCACTTGGTAGTCCTGGACCAAGGAACTACTTTGTTCCTGGACAAGCTTCCCTTGAAATGCCTACACCTCCCTTCCCCCATGCCTTAGAAAACCACATTTGATGGTCAAAACGTGGGGGGTCAAGATGAAATGATGGAAGAATTGTTGTCTAAAACTTGGTATAATATGCTTGCCTAGTGGAAGTGGTTTTTGAACGGGTCCATTATTTTGCAGGTCTAAACATGAAAGTTTGTGTAGCCACGGGCGTAGCCCAGCTTCTCATTTGGGCAGTTTGGGCTGGTGTCACTCACCACCCTTCCTGGTCTAAGTTGTGGGTGGCTGTTGTTGGAGGCGGACTTGCCATGCTCTTGGAAATATATGACTTCCCGCCTTACCACAGATTTGTGGATGCTCATGCTCTCTGGCATGCCACTACCATCCTACTGACATATCTTTGGTGGAGCTTTGCGAAGGATGATGCTGAGTTTAGAACATCAAGTCTCCACAAGAAAGCAGACTAGAATTTCTCTACCCTAATGCTTGTGGTAAATGATTTTTTTGACAGCATCAAGCACATTAAGTACCTCTTTGTTGAACATCTGAACTGCAGTTCCTTGTGTATACCTTTTTCCCAAATGCTTAGGCATTTGCTGGCCCTTACATTAGCACTTCAATTAGTGATCATCTGATTATTTCATGATGTTGTATAGATTCTGCAACGAAATTCAACTTTTAGATCACTATACTTCTTCATTTTCATTTTTGTCTAAAGAATCTGGGGTAACCACATTTTTGTATAAAGTGTGTTTTCTGTTTATAGATATGGTGGGTTTCATGGTTTTTACTTAAGTTCAGTGAAGAACAGGAGTGATGTTGCTTTAAGCAGGGATTTGGAGGTTATAGTTTATTTTGACCCCAAAAGTTTGGCGCAGCAACTTTTTTATTATTTTGAATTGTCATTACAAAAAACTAAAGGAGGAGGAAGGCACAAAATACTATTTAATTTTCACGATGATGAAATTGCACTTAAGCTA